CATTTTAAAGTGACTATAGGCCCCCAGAGCCATGCTAAGAACAATATAAATAAGGCTAAACCCAACCCAACCCAACCCAACCCACTGCGATTGAGGCCATTGAAAGTCAGACGGAACCTAGACAGGGTTGGGGGACACACTCTTGACGTGAGCAGACAGTCATCTTTTGACCTTCGGAGGGAGGGATTTGAAGCAGCCCAATGTCTAACCCACAGTGCCACCAGGAATCCTTAGAAGGACAGTTCCAAACTCCCTGCCACTGAGTCAATGCCCTTTAGGACAGGGCAGAACTGCCTTTGAGGGTTTCCAAGACTTTCTTTGAAAACACGATTTTATTTAGCTTCCAGTGAAAGTTTACGCAGTAGATTAACTTGTTCAATGACATTGGTTACACTTTTTTTCATTCCAAGAGAAAGCAGAAAATAAAAGAGTGGGTTAAAAGGGGAAAACGTGTTAAATTTTAACCCAAACGTGTCTTCAGTAAGTCACTTAAAGATAGACTCTGAGGGCAAAGATGTTCACATCCCCGGTCTGTGATCAGAAGGTATTCAATGGAGGCTCATTCCCCATGGGGACACTAACTCTTCATGGGAGTAGAAAGTATCTCCCGAAGAGCAGCTGGGGGTTTCAACCGCCGACCTTGAGGTTAGCAGCCCAACTTGTCACCACTATGCCACCAGGGCCCCCTTGGGAACAGTGAGAGCGATACTTAGGAACCCACGGTTGTTGCGTTCCAAGTGGCACAGGACAAAGAATAGACGTGGAAGCTGAGGTGGACAAAAGGAGTTTCTGTGTCATCCAAGGTCCCGTTGAAGGTACTGTGGTCCCGTTACACTTTCCCTCGGAGTCTGTGCCAACCCAGAGAGGAGGGAACCAGGAAACCGAGGTTTGGGCCAATCAGTTGGCTGAAGGCCACATTACTAGTGCGTGACACAGAGTTGGGATGGCTCCGGAGCACATCCTTTGATGCAAACAAATGAGCCAATTAAGAAGACAGGTTTGTAATTCTTAGGGCAGTTATGAAAGGGAAAGAAAAAGGCACCCCTATAGCTAGGGTAAGGAGCCCTGCCGGTGTAGTGGGTATAGCGGGGAGGTCTGCTAACTTGAAGGTCAGCAATGAGAAATTATCAGCCACTTCTTTGTTGAAAAATGGGGCTTTTACACCTATAAAGATTTATAGCCTGGGAAATGAACAGGGCAGTGCTACCCTGCCCTATAGGGTCGCTATGAGTCAGTATTGACTCAATGACGTTGGGTGAGTGAGTGGCACTAGGGTCACGAGCTTGTTTGTGACAGCGATCGTCTCTGCTTTATTTAACGTTGTGTGTCCTGGGAACCGGTTCAGTCCCAGCAACGGAGTGGCTGACCCTTCCGTAGCTGACAGCTGGCAGCTGTCTTTCTTGCCACCAGCTGGGTCATAGGATACTCCTCACGGTGAACATACACAATTGTACAGATTATCAACATCAAATGGCTTTAAAAAATTTGCTGTCACAGAACAAGACAGAAATAAGATCACTTCACAATTAAAGCCTTAAGCCTGAAGAGATAAACACGCTGCACAACTAGAAAAATAACCAAACAACTCCCTCTCCTGGCCAACAGTAGTGACTCCTCCTTCTCCTGCAAGACAATTCAGCTTTGGACTCTCTCAAACTCACAGCGACTCTCAGGGGTCCTCAAACTTTTTAAGCAGGGGACAGTTCACTGTCCTTCAGACCTGTTGGAGGGCCGGACTATAGTTTAAAAAAAAACTACGAACAAATTCCTATACACACTGCACATATCTTATTTTGAAGTAAAACACCCGGCGGGCCAGATAAATGTCCTTGGTGGGCCGCATGTGGCCCACGGGCCGTAGTTTGAGGACGCCTGCCGGGGTTTCCCAGATTAACTGTTGGGAGAGTCGAAAGCCCGTCTCTCTCCCACACGGTATGTTCTGTGGCTACCAGCCAGACTGTAAAGTCAAACTCAGTCACTCTATGCACTGGCTCTGGAAAACGGCTGTAGTTGCATCCAGCCTCTTCTGAAGAATTACAGCACCTACTTCAGAAGGAAGGTGTATTTCAGGGTGGTGAATCATTTAGTATGGCTCTTCTAGCCACAGCCTTTGTTATTCCACCAAATAGCCTTCATTTTTCCTGATAGGTCAGGGTAAGAAGGGGTGCGGTGAGGAGACCACTGGTGGTTTCCAAGTGCTGATCATGCGGATCACAGCCTAACTCATAACCACGATGCTACCCGGCTCCCTCCAGCCCCCTCTGTTGCTCACGGCATAAAAATTGAGATGTTCAATCACCAAATTATCCATATTTTTGGCAGTCTTTAATCTACAACAGACCCTCAACCCCCACTTCTTGGGATTCCGTCCCAAGCCACCTAACACAAAAGCACAACCCTTACAGCAAGCCTTCCCTAGCGCCCTCTCTGAGACTTCACGGATCCTCAGTTCTCGTTGCCGCACCGGCTGCTCCGCTGTCTTTGGCTGTAGGTGTGTGGGGCGGATCTTTGGCTGAGGGCATCATAGGGGTTATAGCAAAATCCGTGTGGGAAGCGGGACAAGCCTTAACTTGTTATATTGTAATTTTCTCTTTCTGGACAGAGAGTGATACAGTCAGATGTGCCTTCAAAGCAGAATTACTTAATAAAGAAAAAAATAGCGTTACTGACTCGTATAATGTTCACTTGCATTTTCAGTTCTGTCTCACAGCTCACTCGACTTTTCTTGTTCCATTCCCCATAGCACTGTTTGTCTCCCATCCAAATACCAACCACCCTGACCCTGCCTAGCTACTGACATCGTCCAAGGTCAGGCGTGTTCATGGTGGTATGGCCGTAGACAGCACTCTGTTTTTCTGCTGGGTTCGCTACACAACTCTACACAACTCACAGATGATGGGATTTATTAGGAAAGTCAGCAGGTTACAAGGCAGGTGAGAGATGCTCAGGACACAGTTCTTCAGTCAGGATAGTTCCTTTTCTGCCATACCTGCAGGCAGGGCTCACTCTGGTCCTCTGGTCTCTTGCACTGCCCTCTGTCCTGCTTGGGCAATCAATGTTACAAAGCTTATATGGAGCTGCTCATAAATCGCTGCAGGGCATACCAGGAAAGCACTCAGCTCCAGGTCTGGGGGTCAGCAAATCCAGCTCCCGGAATTCTGTGCCCAGAGGCACTCCACAATTGCCCCCAAGGACTCAGCTTTACTGGCTCTGTGGGCTGGGAAGTCCAATGTTCTGTCTCATGCTCCGGCTCCTCTTCACTCCCCTGCCCCAGTGTCCAAGCTGTCTCCTGGATCCAGTTGGTTCAATGCACACAAGTCTCAGGATCCAAAGGATGTGCTCCACTCCTGGTCTTCTCTTTTTGCCACTAGGTAGAAGCCCCATCCTGCTTCAGAGATGGCTGTTGTTATAATCAGCTGGATGGCACGTACTCCCTCACAGCTGAGTCATAGAACACAACCAGTATCTCCTCACCGCACCCCTTCTTACCCCGACCCATCAGGAAAAATGAAGGCTATTTGGTGGAGTAACAAAGGCTGTGGCTAGAAGAGCCATACTAAATGATTCACCACCCTGAACTACACCTTCCTTCTGAAGTAGGTGCTGTAATTCTTCAGAAGAGGCCGGATGCAACTACAGACGTTTTCCAGAGCCAGTGCATAGAGTGACTGAGTTTGACTTTACAGCCCGGCTGGTAGCCACAGAACATACCGTGTTGGGGGAAGTAAACAAATGACCTGCTTGCCTTCCAATGAATAAATAAAAAAAGAGAAAGTCTTGGAAGAAAAATAAAACAAAGGTCTCTTACGCTGGGCCAGGCGCTTTACATGTTTGCCCCCACTTGACCTTGGTAACAACTGCATTTGGTCAGTAACATGATTTTATGGGAGGAAACTGAGGCACGAAGAGACAAGTAGGATGCTGGTGTCAGACCTGGGCTGACTAAAGGGTTTTTCACATGTTCTCAGTCTTTCTTGACAATATCGTGTGTCGTGCGTCCTTTCCTAGTGCCTAAAACTGGGACAACAAGACGGCATACCACTGAGAAAAAGCGCTGCCTATTACCCGCTCTCGCTTGTACACAGTTTTCAGAGATACTAAAACAAGAGGAAAAGTGTCTTTTTCAAGGGGGTATTATTCATCCCCATTGCACAGCTGCGGACCCCGGAGCTGGGAACTGCAGTACTTTCTCAAGGCTACAAGGTGGTCAGGGAGGGGCTTGCCTACAAGTGTCCTGTCTACACAATCTCTGCCCTTTCTTCGGTTCTTTTCTCAACGTGCAGGAAGCCTTTGATCCTTGAATTCCAGGAGGACATCTATTGGCTGCGTTTGACGAGGATGTCCTGGACTGAGCAGAGCTCTTGGGCAAGAGAACACTTTTTGTGCTTTTCAAAGCACATGTGTGGGGCGGCCAAGTCTACATTCAGGGTGAACTTTTCATCTTTGCTTTTTAAGTTGGGTTATAAATTAAATTCTCTGGGCTTTCTGGTCAAAGAGCTTGCATGCCTGACATTATTCTTGTGAGGCAAATTCCTGTGTTTCCTAGGTCCCAGCAGGGCTCTCTAGAACGCCCTCGTCTTCTCTCCCTGGGCGTCCCTTGTTGTGTCTTCAGTCAGGGCTTATCAACCTGCCTTTGCTCGTTTGGATCAGAGACCATGTGTGACTCCCATTTCTGCAGTTTACTGGCATCTTCCAAGCCTCACTCCTCGCCTGTCCCCTCTGTCTCACATATGGAAAGACGCACAAAGCCACGGTGCCCTCCTTTGATGCAGGTGGGAGACTCAAACCATAAAAGCCCCTGCCCTTAATCTAACCCTGCCACTTAACTACAATAAATAACCCAAGCCCGTCTCCTTGTCTTGTTCTCACAAGCCATTTTGGACTGTTCTCCTGGGGAAACACTCAATTGTGGGAGTAAGGACCCTTCTCATACCCTGTTCATGGATTGTGGCTTCATCAGTCTCAGCAAGTAAACAGATTTTGGGTGGGAATTCCTCTTGGGTCTGAAAAAAAAACAACAAAAAAAAACTTGTTAAAATTATTTTTAACACCAGCTGCCCCTCCCTTGTCAGGCTCCAGCCATGCCATGCCAGGCACAGGGCAGCGGACACCTTGTGGCTCCCCCCACTGGTGTTCCTGACAAGCCTAGGAGCCACTGTGGTTGGTGCCCAACAGCTGCATGACCAAAGGACCTGTAGGCGGGGCATGCTGGCGTCTGTGGGGCTGATCTGACATTGCCAAGCTGAGGCCTAAAAAAAAAAAAAAATATATATATATATATATATATATATACACACACACACACACACACACACACACACACGGAAGCTAATATTATTTCCACCTAGCTACTTTTACAATGGAGTCCATGGGGGACTATGCTCAGCTGCTCAGCTGCTATTTCAAGGACACCAGAAGCACCCTGGGAGAAAGGCCTTCCAATCTACTTCCCATCCCCTTCCACCTCCCATTGGCTCCACCCAGCCACTGAGAATCCGAGAGAGCACAGTTCTAGTCTGATATGTGGGGGCGATTATGTGTTGGAATTGGCTTGAGAGCCCCTGACTGATACCGGAGGCCTGCTTGCCAGACTCCATGTTTAAGTGAAAGGCTTTTCTCTGTTCTACTTTGCTATTGTTGTTTTTTGTTTTCTATGTTTGTCTTTAAATGAAATCCAGGATAGGTCATTCTACAGAGGCAGTAAGTAGATTCCTGGTTTCTTGGCGGTATGGCAGGGGAAGTGGGGCGATGGGGAGCTTAGAGCAATGAGTAAAAGAAGAAAGCGTTCTAAAACTCTTCTTAATAGGACTGAGCTGTGGAAGCGCATATGTGCATTACATGCCCATAAAACGATTACAAAAGAAGTCTTGAGTGTTGCTGTGGTTTCCTCATGAGACAAAGGAGAACTCGCATGCGGGCGGACTGTGCAATTTGGGCATCCTGCCTGGATTTGGAGCAGTGATGGGGCGGGGGTGGGGGTGGGGAGGGGTGTAGGCAGGCAGGTGAGGGGAGGCATTGCATATTGTCCACCAGAATAGGTGAGGCAAAGAGAGCGAGCACGGTCTTGGGATATTCTTTTGGAACACAGCGAGATGGAATGAATAAAGCAGACAGAACAAGAAAAAAGCAAAACAGATGAGTGAGGTTAGAGGGTGGAAGCAATTATAAAATTGAAGGAAAAAATGGAGGAACAAAGAGAAAAAAAAATGAAAAGAGAAGGACCACGTTGCCGGAGAGGCCAGGTATTTGAGACACGGGAGGAGAAATTGAACGGGGGCTACAGGCAGTTCTTGGTTACACACGTCTGCCAGACAACTCATCCTGGTCCTTAATGTATGTCAAGTTGTCCTCGCTTTGAAATGGCTGAAGTTACCGCTACTCGAAACACACTCGTCACCACTTCACCTGCTGCACCTGCAATCATTGAAAAGTCGCTAAGTCTTTTCTTGCACTAAATGAGAACCGTGTACACTGTTCCAACTTGCCCTCCAATTCGACTTAAAGACGCACTCAGGGACGGATCTTGTTCACAACCCAGGAGGTGCCTGTCATGGGACAAGGAGAAGAGCGTAAACGGGATACGCATGGTCTTGTCTTAGGGAGGGTTTTCATCAAGGAATCATGTCTTGGGTTAAGGTTTTAATCAAGAACCACAAAGCGTTACCACAAGGAGACGCCCTATGCCTCTTTCTGAGGGGCGATATGGGTCGGATCTGCTTGGACATGATCTCCCTGTCATTACAAGGTCTAACGGCGTGCTATTGCCACGGCTGAGTCATGAGTCACCATCCCCGATGATGTTGAAACCGCAAGGAGAAAACCCATACCAACAGTTTCCAGGTGGCTGTCAAACTCTGTTCTGGGGGAAGGGAGAGAAATGGCTGCTGTATGATTCTCCGGGTTCTGAATCCACATTTCAAACAGCACAGTGTGAAAGTATAAAGACAGGGCCCTTTTGGAGGTCACTGATGATTTCCATTACAGTCCCTGATTTATTATTCAGCCTAGAAGACATAAGGGCTCGACCTGTGGGACAAGCTCAGCAGAAAGAAAATTACTTAGTAGTTTTAAAGACCCTCTCCTCACATGCCCCCTCCTCCCCACCTCCTCACAGCCCTGGGCTTTGACCCCTCTGAGCTCAAAAGGCGGGCACCTGAAAGACCAAGTCCTCCAACATTTACGTTTGAGTTTTCCTCTCTGTTTTGCCCAGGCGAGACGCCCTCTTTTACCCCCTCCTCTGTCGCGTGGGAGGTCGGGGAAAACGGCTTTCAGGATTTCTCTTTTTTTGGCATCTTAAAGAAGAATAAGAAATGTCCCGGGTCTCCTTCCACCTCCTCCTCCTGCCTTCCTCCATGTTGCTTTGCCAGACAATCAAGAATGCTTCCAGGGAATTCTCTGGGTCATCTACCATACCAGGAAAGAAACACATCAATGAGGGGAGGTCTTAACTATGTAAGAAACGGATACGCCACATGGTTTCTCCTGACAAAGGCAAGCAGCTTCACCTGAAGTAAGGGAGCTGGAAGTGCACGGGGCCCTGTCAGGGAGTGAACCAGCTGGAACCACAGAGGAGGCCGCCCAGCACAGCTCAAGCACAGCACAACATCTTTTTCTCTTGGCGTCTTGGTGTTTAGGCCTGTTCCTGGGGTTATTTGGGGCACTGGTTCAGAAAACTGCACTGGAGAGACTGCATCAGCTCTAGCTCATTAGATAGGGCATTCCACTAAGTTTTCAGCTATTTAGTTGCATTGATTTATTAATTTATCATCCTAGTTTTAAATATGAGAACAACTCAGACCCACAAATTACAGGATCAGATAAAAAAGGAGACATACCATATACACTCAAGTATAAGCCGATCCGAATAACCGCCAAGGCACCTAATCTTACCACAAAAACTGCATAAAAAATGTGCTGAAAAAACTCAACTTATACACAAGTATATAAGGTATGTCTCCTTTTTTTATCTGATCCTGTCATTTGTGGGAACCCACAAGTCACGCTGCAACTTTAAAAAGACTTAAAGGTTTGGAAACCTAAGTGGGCAGTTCTTCTCTGTCCTAAAGGGTCACTATGAGTGAGAATCAATTGGATGGCAGTGGAGATTTCTGTCTGGTTTGGGAGGCTGTGCAATTGATGCAGAGACTATGAGTTGGATACCGCAAATCCAGAACACAGTTTGAGAAGAGCAGAAAATAAAAAAGAAAATGGACATTTTAGAAAAGTTTAGAAAGCGAGAGGACAATTTAAAATGCCACAAAAGTAAGACTTCACAGCCATTTTCATAAATATTTTGAAGATCTAAATTTTTTTCTTCAATTATGCAGCAAACATTTCAGAACACATTTTATTTAATATTTCCTTATTTAGTTTTAAATCATTTTATTGGGGGCTCATACAACTTTTATCACACTGCATACGTACGTCCAGTGTGTCAAATACAATTGTACATTTGTTGCCATCATCATTCTCAAAACATTTGCTTTCAACTTGAGCCCTTGGTATTAGCTCCTCAATTTTCCCCTCCCTCCCCCACGAACCCTTGAGAATTTATAAATTATTATTATTTTTTCATGTCTTACACTGACTGATGTCTCCCTTCACCCACTTTTCTGTTGTCTGTCCCCCAGGGAGGGGCTTATATGTAGATCAATGTGATCAGTTCCTGTTTTCTCCCCCACCTTCCCTCTACCCTCCTGTTATCACTACTCTCATTATTGGTCCTGAGGGGTTTATCTGTCCTGGATTCCCTGTGTTTCCAGTTCTGATCTGGACCAGTGTACATGCTCTTATCTAGCCAGATTTGTAAGGTAGAATTGGGATCATGATAGTGTGGGGGAGGACGCTTTAAAGAACTAGAGGAAAGTTGTATGTTTCATCGGTGCTATACTGTACCCTGACTGGCTCATCTCCTCCCTGAGACCCTTCTGAAAGGTGATGTCCAATTGCCTACAGATGGGCTTTGGGTCCCTACTCCACACTCCCCCTCATTCATAGTGATATGATTTTTTGTTCTTTGATGCCTGATACCTGATCCTAGTGACACCTTGTGAACACACAGGTTGGTGTGCTTCTTCCATGTGGACTTTGTTGCTTCTCAGCTAGATGGCCGCTTGTTTACCTTCAAGCCTTGAAAACCTCAGACATTGTATCTTTTGCACCCACTTTATCTTCAGTGATTGTGTCGGGAAGTGAGCATCATGGAATGCTAGGTTAATAAAACAAAATGTTCAGAACACATTTTAATAGCTAAAAGTCAAGTGTTAAGTCAAACATGTTAAGTGTTTCAGAGGGGAGGTTGATCCTAAGATTCTTTAGAAGAAAAATTCTAACTTTTAAGAGTTTCTGTGCACAGGTGGCGAAATGGTAGTATATTATATTATAAGACTGGAACATTTTAATTTTAATAAAGGAATTTGAACTCTCACAGACGCAATTTGGGTTTCAGAACATTTGAATCCCTAATTATTGTACCAAACTCACTACCAGTCAATTATGATTCACAGCAACCTTGTAGACAGAGTGGAACTTCTGTGAATCCTGATGGGAGCAGCAAGGCCCATCTTTCTCTTGCAGAGGGACCGGTGGGGTCCCATAGCTGAATTTGTGGTGAGCAGTCACACACATAACCCACTATGTCATTAGGGCTCCTAGTTTACTGTACAGTAACTTTTATTTCTAGCCCCCTTTTAAGATCACACAATAGAACTGCCTGCCATTCAGTTTCTAATACATGTGAAGTGATACTTGGGGAAAATTCCAAGTTCATGTAATTTTCACTGTTCAAATTTATACCTTTGGATCAAATGACACTATGTATGTAGAATCTGACTTAAGTATTTAGCACAACAAAAATGATGTTAAATAAAGCCTGTGTGCACTTCCTCTATCTCAGGCTAGCTAACACTCCATTAAAATCAGATCCTGATTTTTTAATGGCTGAATAGAGTAGTACATGGCACATATTCTGTATTTCAAAAGCTATTGCTAAGAGGTGGGTGGTGGGTGGAGGGGAACTGGTGCTATTTTTTTTTTTTAATCAGCAGGTCAAATATACCCAGAAACAAGTCTAACATTTGAAGAACCAAAATCTCTGTTGGTCAGTAAGACCTTACTAACTCTTGATTGATAATCAAAGCTAAACAAACAGAGGATGATATAAAGATGATTACATTATACTTGGCTTTAAAAATGTTTTATTCTTAGCCAGTAGTATTGGAGCATGACTAAATTAACTAGACTGTGTGGAC